TCAGAAGCTGTGCTGAAACAGAGAAAACCTGCAGAAAACAGATCCTTGCTGTCACCACAAGGAGGTATACTGCCTGTCACCCTTGTCTGGGTGGCCCAGTAAAAATTATACTGTCATTGCTAGTAAGAAACCTCATTCTACCATTGCAAGGCTACAAGAACTGGTGGGCTGTTGGGTTTTTTTATTACCTTGAGTGAATTTACAGTGCAAACTGAAGCTTGGTACCAACAAGCTTCAGTTGTTGGTACAACCTTTTGTTATGATGTGGAGTTTAAGTGTGACATAATACCAGAGACCTTGAAAATGTGTGTACAGGCTGAAAACTGAAACCACAAGACTATAAACATCTCAGTGGCAGTCAGCTTATGGTTCTTGAAGAGTTATAACCTTAAATGCTGAGAACGCTGCTTTAGACATAACAAAGAGGATAAGGAAGCAGTCAAACAACAGAATGAGCCAAATAAATTGTGTGGCCACAGGAAGTTAACACCCACCAGCATTGCAGAGTATATAGTCCAAGGAAAGGAGACCAAAGACTTAAAATCCACTGAGAAACTCAAATCATTTTAAAATGGACTAGATCTTGATATTTGAAAAGAATTGCTGCTGACAAATGGTCGTCATCACTGGTTCACCATGGAATTCTCTTCCTACAAACTATGTCAAAGCTTCAAGCGCATTACCTGCTTCAAGGATTGTGACTCTTCAAATGTCTTTTATCATGCCAGTCAAGCTTCAGGACTGTAGAAAAGTCTGCATCTGAGTGCATAAACTACATGAATGTCTTGTCTCAAGCTTTGTAATTCCCAAATAAGGCACATAAATTCAGTTTTGTTACTGTGATAACTATCAGTGTGACAGCTATCACACTGATCAGCCCTGAAATGATTGAGCAATTGCATTAGACAACAGTTGTTGGTCCCTTCCAACTGGAAGTATTCTATTGTATTCTATGTATGCTTCTTATTATTGTGCATAAATACATCCATAAAATCCTCAGTGTTAGTCTTCCACTGAAACAAAAGACAAACCTCCAACAGAACCAGGATTTTAGACATCACACGGGAATATACAGTTTCACAGAATATAGTGTTGGAATTGGTGTGGCCAGACCCCCACGAGAAAGTGTTAGGTAGTATAAAACTGCCTGGGTTGGAATAGTTCTCTCACTGTTGCACAGTTTCTGTACTAATATTATTTGTTTACATTAGAAGTGTGTATATATATATATATATATATATATATATATAGCTGCATATCCTCTTACCTCCACTACTACTGCTTTAATAAAGGATAAAGAAAAGCACAGGGGCTCAATCTTCTGTCATTTTTAGACTATGAAAGGCAAAATGGTATTCTGCCCTTGTAAAATTATTCCAGAAGTTAAATATTTGTGTTCTGGAGGCATTTTTTTTTTCCTGCTTCTTTACCTGGTGGTTAAACAAGGAACTTGCCCCAGGAAGAAAGGGTGTGTCTATTCTGCAGAGCTGGAGGTAAGCATTTGTGCAGGAAAAACCTAAAGCACCTAAAGAACTTCAAGGAACAAGCTGGGGCTTTGAGCCTCAAGCCATGTAGTTTAGTTGGAGAAATTCTCATATGGTAGTGTATTAGACTGTAAACTAAAACTGAGTGAGACGTAGCACACTAGAGACCTGCTTAAAATATCACAATTAAGGAGCACTTAATGAACTGCTCTTTCAATCAGCTAGCTTTTGGGGGAAACTTCATTATAACTATTCTCAGCTCTTATATGCATGCTGTATTAAGGTTACACTCTCATATTGTTTTACATGGCAAATAACAGTGTGAGGTTTTTAAATAAAAGGTTAGTTAATTCTTACAACCTTAAAATTCAACAGACTATGGTGTGGCTCTCAACCCTATGTAATTCCTTAAATTCTACTGTTACGGCCCATTGTGGGGTATATTAGTAATTCCTGCAACATAGTTCCAACTTTTTATTCTCTCCCTGGAAAATTTTCATGAAAATATAAAGTACGTATTAGCCATTACACAAAATGCAGCCATTTCTGTAGGGATTATATTTTATTCAGATCTCTTTCAGTAACTATCACTCACTACCCCTAAATAAACTATGCCTGCATTTGTATCCACCTGTGACTGTAGTCAATGTAAATGACCTGGTGAAATGCTTAGTAAGAGTTCTGTAGTTGTGAAACTTTCCTGTCTATGAGACAGCCTCCAAATGGACCTTTTTTTAGAGAACTGGTTGGATTTATATGTATACACGCATTTTATAATGCCTATAATACTTAATCAGACAAAGCAAAAAAATTATATTTATACAGCATCCTCTTCTCACCATAATTTACAAAGTTCAGTGCTTGGTAAATGACAGCATCCATTCTGTGTGTCACTTCAGCACTGACACATCATGGTATGCCATTCATCAAAGCCTTTTCTGACTTAAAATTGAGGCAATTTTTTATGCTATCTCTCATATAGTACCACACAGTTGAGAGTCTGTTGGTTGTGTTCAAGCAGTCACTGCAGTCTCTCAGAAAAATGCAGTTCTCCTTAGGAAACAGCCAATACCAGCATAAAGACTTACTACACTACTGCAACTGCAGTTGTGGAAAGGACAGTATGTGGTGCTAATATTGTGTGTAGATAAGGCCCTGAGACTCACTTCAGCTTCTCCCCCCTCCAACAACAACAACAACCAAAACCAAAAAACCCAAACAAACAAACAAACAAAACCAACCAAAAAAACCCCCAAAAAACCCAAAACCCAAACCAACCAACCAAGAAAGAAACAAACAAAAAAAGACATGTACCTCAAAATCATAACAGTTGAAATAACTGATTTTTAGTTCCATTAAAAACCTCACAGACAGGCCCAAATTATCAGAAGTGTGTCCACATGTCTGTCAGATTCTCCAGCTCCTCCACCTTGCCTAGCTGAGGTGTGGATTCAGGGGCTAAATCCCTGAATGTGCTATTTTTTTAAAAGTACCAAAACACAAGGCTATGATACACATAATCAGGTCCTTGGAAGTAGCAAACCTTACCCTGGCTTATTTGACCAACAGATATAACTCTGCTAAATTAATGTTTCTCCTCTTGCCCACGAAGGTATCCTTAAGGAGAAAATTATGTTCCTCTTTTTCCACCTCCACAAGTTTTGTATTCCCTTTGCTTACTATAGCCCTGATGGCTTCTCATGATATTTCTGATGTATTTTTGTGTTTGTGCAGGATGGATGCAAATAAATATGTTATATACTTCTCTAGTTTTACAATGAGGAATCTAGATTTAAAAAAAAACAAGCTATCGAAGTGTTGCTGTTCAATTTCCTCTGGCATAGTAAGTTTTCTTACAAAATTAATACATTGCTATCACTTGAAAGCAAGAAATGGAGAAAGCAAGCAAGAGCACCCTAATTGTAAAAACGCAGAACATCCTCTGTTCAGAAATACAAAGCTTTCCAAAATATGTACCAAAAAAAGTAAATTTCTCACCTTCCCCACTTCCTGAAAGTAGGAGTGGGTTTCTTGTTTGTTTTGTTTGTTGGCTTGTGGTTTTGGGGTTCTTTCCCCCATAATATTGGGACTTCCAGCAGCAGAACTGTTGAAACAGCTGCAATCCTATGTTTTATATCACCAGTATCTGGAGTCCCTCCTGATATTCTCTATCTCATTTCCAAGTTTAACCTCACTCTGATCACCTGAAATCTTCTGGCATGGTCTCCTTTCCATTCTAGGAGCACAGTATTATCTATCTCTGTGTGTTCTGTGGTCATATCAGAGATTGCTGGCTATGGTCAACAGAAATGACTGTAGGGACTTTCCTGTCTTCAATGATTTTGATTGTCTAACCATTGATTTGAGCTCCTTACCAGACACAGCTGGCAGCTGCTAGGGGAAATAGAAGCTATTTCTATTTCTGTTTTCTATTTCTATTCTCTACATATCTTCATCATATCCAGAATATTAATTCTTAATTTCTGGGGTTTTTTTGATCAAGTCTATTACACCAACACCCAGACTTGGAGCTCTTCAGCAGCCTGTCAAGTAGCCACTAGCCACTTTCCCATTTATTTCAGTGTATCATTGAAAGTTTTGTCTGAACCAAATCCCTACAACTACCTCAAAAGGAGATTGTAGCGAGGTGGAGACCAGTTTCTTCTACCACACCTGCAGTGAGAGAAGCAGAGGAAATGACTGTAACCTGAGACAGGGGAGATTCTGATTAGATATTAGAAAAAATTTTTCCCTGTCAGGGTGGCCGGGCATTGGGATGGGCTGCCCAGGGAGGTGGTGGAGTCACCACTCCTGGAGGTGTTCAAGAGGCGTCCGATCTGGCGCTCGGCGATGTGGCTCAGGGGTTTAGGGGTCACAGTGGCATTCTGGCCTGGATGATCTAAAAGGTCCCTCCCGATCTTGACGATTCTGTGACTCTATAACTCTGAGTCCTTCTTGTAAATCCTCTCTGTACTAACGCATCTTCACGGTCTCTTAGGTGCGGCTCCCAGTTTGTGTTTCCTGGGAAATGGCGTTCTGCCCGCACCCAAAGCTCTCCTTCGGCGAGTCTGGCGGTGCCCCCGCAGGCGCTCCGGGACCACGGGATCTGCGGCGGGCCCTGGGGACGGGAACGGGCCCTGGGAACGGGAACGGGCCCAGACACAGACACCGACCCAGACACGGACTCGGTCCCGGACAAGGGCGGGGTAGAGACAGCCCGGCCCAGCCCAGCCCAGCCCAGCCCCGCCCCGGGCTCTGCCTCGGCCCCGCCCCCCCGCCCCCGCCCCTCGCCATGGCCCCGCCCCTCGCCATGGCCCCGCCCCTCGCCATGGCCCCGCCCCTCACCATGGCCCCGCCCCTCGCCATGGCCCCGGCCCCGCCGCGGCGCCACGGCGCCCCCTGCCGCCCGCCTCCTGCCAGACGTTGGCCAATGGGGAAGGCGGCCGCGCCTCCGGCGGCGCTGATTGGCCGCGGCCGGGAGGGTGTCGCGGCGGGCGGGGGAGCAGCGGCGCAGTCGCGGGCGGGCGGAGGAGGCGGTGCCGTCTCAGCGAGTCGCAGTGTCGGCGTGTCACAATGCCGAGGGAGATCGAGCTGTGCCCCGGGCGGCGCGTCGGCGGCGACCAGCCGTGCTTCATCATCGCCGAGATCGGGCAGAACCACCAGGGCGACCTGGACATCGCCAAGCGCATGATCCGCATGGCCAAGGTGCGCGCGGGGAGGCGAGCGAGGGAGGGCCCCGGGGCGCTGCCGGGGGACGCGCCCGCGGGGAGCGGCTTCTCCTTCGCGCGGTGGTGCCGCTCGGGAGGAGCGGGGTGACTCGCGGGAGGGCTCACTCCTGAAGCAAAGTGTCTGCACCGAGACCCTTGCGCTCGACTTTGGGGAAGGGTCTGGAGCGCCTGTCCTGTGAGGAGCGGCTGAGGGAGCTGGAGTGGTTTAGCCTGGAGAGAAGGAGTCTTTTAAAGGGGAGAGCCTGGAGAAGAGGAATCTTCTAAAGGGGAGTTGTGTCGCTCTCTACAGCTACCTGAAAGGAGGCTGTGGCCAAGTGGGGGTCGGCCTCTTCTCCGAGGCAGCCAGCGACAGGATGAGAGGACAGAGCCTCAGGCTGTGCTGGGGGAGGTTTAGTTCGGGCATAGGAAGAAACTCTTCATAGAAGGGGTGATTAGACACTGGAATGGGCTGCCCAGGGAGGTGGTGGAGTCACCATCCCTGGAGGCCTCTAACGACAGGCTGGACTGTTTAAGGAAAGGCTGGACATTACACTCAGTGCCATGGTCTAGTTGACATGTTGGTGTTCAGCCATCGTTTGGACTCGGTGATCTCAGGTCTTTTCCAGCCTAATTGATTCTGTGTGACATCCACAGTCCTGCAGCTGTGGTGTGAGGGAATTTGGGAAGAATCGGGCAGCTGCTGAACTATTTCCGATGAACCTGCAGTTTGACCTGGTTGCATTAGGGTTTTTTTCAGGTAGTGCTTGTGCCATCCAGGAAGACAGCCAGGCTGCTTTGAAATTCGATGTTATATCTGTTAGATAGAAAACAGTACATCACTGAAGAACAGCTCAGGGCACAGTGTGTTCAGAGCTGTAACTGTGGTGTAAGTGCAAAATAGTGTAATGAGGATATATCTTTACATTGTCACTTCCAATGGATTGTTATCCCAGGAAGTGTTCACGAGGCATCTGGATCTCGCACTGGCTGATTCAAGGGTTACAGTGCTGGGTGGACGGTTGGGCCAGATGATCTTGAAGGTCTCTTTCAACACTGATGATTCTGCGAACTTCACATTTAAATTCCTTGTTCCACAGAATCCTGTGTCTTGTTTTAAGGTAAAATTATAAAGTGACAGCTGAGCTGAAAAAAAACACCACAGAAATCAGCTCCTCAAATAAGTGGCATTCATAGCAAGAGGCTATGCAGTTTTGTACATTTAGTATGATGTCCCTCTAGACTGCTGCTCTACCAAGTGTTGAAGTAAAAGGGCTTATATGTCTGCAGGTCCTCAGTCACTCTGTGTTCATTACCATTTCTGTGATTGCTGTGATGATACTGTGAAAACTCCACAGCAAATGAGCACATTAGTTGCTCAGTTCTTGTGTTCACACTCAAGATGAGTGCAGTTTTTCTTGCACTGCCACTCAGTGTGCACCAGCTTCTTTTGCAGGAATGTGGAGCAGACTGTGCTAAGTTCCAGAAGAGTGAACTGGAGTACAAATTCAACAAGAAAGCCTTAGAAAGGCCCTACACCTCTAAACACTCCTGGGGAAAGACCTATGGGGAGCACAAGCGCCACTTGGAGTTTAGCCATGACCAATACAGAGAGCTAAAGAAGTATGCAGAGGAGATTGGCATTTTCTTCACAGCTTCTGGCATGGATGAGGTATGTAAGCCATACTGGAATGACAGTGGGAGTCTGGTTGTTGTGTCTGTTGGGTATTATTAGGTGTGATAGTTCTTGCATAAAAAGAATATGTGGATGATGAATTTCTACATGAGGGGACTGGAGTAATTTGCCAGTTCACCTGTATGGTGGACCTGCCATGGTTGAGTAGATGGCTGAACACTTTGGAAGACTTGCTGTGTGCACTGCTACTACTGTTTATACACAGTAAATAATATTAGAGACAAGGTCTTAGTTTGAACTTCATAAACAATCAAGGCTTTAAGAGTTTAGATCAAGTCAGTGTGATCTGATTGCTCTCCGGTGTTGTCTGGTATGTTGGCTCCAAGAATTTCAAACTTCCTTCTGTATTTAAACCAGATCCTTTCTTAACCTCGTTCAAGTTTCCCACTTCTTTTTCCCCTCCTTGCTGTTTACTAGGACCCTGTTGGTGTTTCTAAGCAGCAGAAATGTTTATACCCCTTTTTTTTTTAATTAATCTCATTGAGAGGGCCCCACCTTGCCCTGTTACTCCTGAAGCATTTACTGATTTTTGCCAGTGAGCTCTTGAACAGTCAGCTCCACCTTGAGATTCTCAACTGCATGAAGCTCATCTGCTGCAGATCCCCCTTAAGATGTGAATACTTCTAACTGGGCATGTTGCCTGCCTCAGAATAATGTTAGTTACAGTATTAAGAAATGCAACACACATTTGAAATGTGTAAACTGGAAAGATCAGGTAACAATTGAACTTCAGTGTAGATCAGAGATTACAGACTGCTTTACTTTTCTTTGTGGCCTAGAAAATACAGAAAAGCAAACTGAAAGAGACCCTAGCAGAAGTACACTAGCCACTCTTGCATATGGCCAGCAGATCAATGTCCCTGGCTTCCTGCAAGTAGCCTCATCCAGGATGGGATAAGGATGTGATTTACTTAATATTTTAAGGTGATCTGTTCAGTGCCTCACTCTCTTAGCATCAGAGAGAATTCCTAATATATTAGGGTTATCTCCTTCCTCATAATTTTTTGTCCTGCCTTATCTGACGTAAAAGTTCATACTTGTACCTCCTCTCTGGTAATTGAGCACAAAAATTATTGCACCTCTTCTCTTTTGTAATCTCTGGTCTAGGCAATTTCAATTCCTTCAGCCTTTTTATGCTGTCTTTTCTAGTGCTCTGGCCATTCTTACTGCTGCTATCAACTTGCTGTCCTCAAAATCCTTGAGTTGCTGTGCCTCTTCTGAGGTGGTACAAGCACCAAATATCATAAAGAACTACTTCAGATGCGTGATAGACAAAAAGATGTTTTGTGTGTATGGCAAAAGCTCAGTGCCATGGATTCAGAAATAGATCTGTGAAAAGAGAGTGGTGCCATGTTTTGTTTGTCATGTCTCCATGTGTAGAAGACCTGCTGAAAACCATGTACTCCTTAACAAAGGAGTAACTGAATGCAGGATTCTTGGACTTCTGTATCTGGGACCTTAAAAGACCCATGTGCCTTTGCGGGGGGGAGAAAAAACCCACACTCCTTCTTTGATGTTAAAACCTCTGGGTTTTAAAGGCTATAGTGCAATACAGAACACCTTTCATATGCAGCAGCTAAGATCACTTTCTGCCTCTGGGATCCTTCTTTCCCTTTGCTGTGCTCCATTGTGTGTGACCTTATCAGCTAATTAACAGAACTGATACATGTTTGTGCCCTCTTGTTTGAACAGTCATTACATTACACATCTCTTAAGATTTCTGGTGGCATTTCTGCAAGACGTGGGTTTGGAATTTAAGGAAAACATTGCATAAATTGACATCATAAATCCTCAAGAATATGTTAACTTCTGTAAATTTAACATAATCTCTGGAACTCCAGCTATGTCGAAGAGGTTAAATTGTGTGTTAACTATAAGAGGAAATCAATGAACTGATGTGTGAAGTAAATACAAAGGCTATGAATAACTTCTTTATCTATTCTGTTCCAGTGTGTACTGGAGACAAAACAGGATCTCATTGAACCACTCCCTTTAATGTCATTCCTGTTGCTTGAAATTACTTCCTGATCCTTGAATCTCCTACAGAAAAGCTGCCAATTTTCAAGAGATATTTACCTAATGAAGAGTGGCTTTAGATATGAGGCCTATTCTGTTATATTTCATTTTGTGCCATCTCCTGAGATTAGATCTGTGGGGGTTTAATATAATGTATTCATTGTCTTTATGCACAATGAATAAACTATATTAAAGAGATGTTATACATCCTAGGTACAAGAAATTGCATCTGCATCATACTGATGATAGAAAAATTAGACCAAATGAGTTTCTCCTCTGGACATTAGCACTCTTTCTCTGGCACTAAGTAAATTTAACTGCAACAAGGAATGAGCTGAAGAAATTAAAAGTGTTTGTGAGTGATTGATGTGGAACAAAGTTAACCACTTCATTGTTTTCCCCAGAGGTGAAATGGAGGATTTAAATATCTCTTGCCTTTAATAGGTTTGGAATTAGAATTTTCTTCCTTGACAATACTAATTTTTAAAAGGCCCTTACTGATGTAAAACCAGTTTTCAGGGAGCCTCCAGTAATTCCTGAATTGTCTTCAAAATAGCATGCTTATTTTTAGGCAAAAGCAGAGTATAATTAGCATTTGAGTAAACTGCTTGGTAGCCTCTTCTTTGGCATATTTTATTTTCTAGTATCTCTCCTAGAAGGAAGCCCATTTTGTATGTCCCTTTTTGGGTGCTTCTTTTTTTCAGGCGCTTATTTAATATGCTTGTACAGTTTTTCAGTGTGGCAGATCCGTTCCGGAAAACTACCTGTAGTTTTAAACTCTCTGTGGTTTAATATTTCTGACCTGCAGGAAGTGTGTGGCTGGAAGACTGCCTGCGTGCCTGTAACGCATTCCTTCAAAGGGCAAGCTCTCATCTGCAGGTAGTTGCTCTCTCTGGTAGTGCTAAAAAAAAAAAAAAAATGAGCAAGAACGCTGTGGCCCACAAGTTCATCCTTAAGTTAGAGGAGCAGTGGAACTCTCCTGTCCTAAGCAGCAGTTCCTACAGCTGGCTGACCAGCTGTGGCTGGGAGACCAAAGAGGCTGCCTTCCGACCGTGATCCCAGTCAAAAACCTGTAGAGAAACAGTACAAGTATGCAAGAAGGCACCATAATTATACTTTCACCTGGAGGGAAAGCAGAAACCCATATCCTCAGGATAGCAAATGTTACTTCAGGAGCAGTGTATTTTGGGGAGATATCTATAATGTCTACCTATTTAACTCAGCCTTGGTTTTGCTATTCTGAAGGGTTATTTCCCGGCACAGTGGTTCTTTATCCTTTGATCCAGCTGGTGTGTTAAAATGCAGTGACTTCTTTTCCTTGTAGATGGCTGTGGAATTTCTTCATGAGCTGGATGTTCCATTTTTCAAAGTAGGATCAGGAGATACAAATAATTTTCCATATTTGGAAAAGACTGCAAAGAAAGGTAAGCATTTTCTTTGAGCCATCTTGGTAAACATCACTGTGTCTCAGTGTTAGTATCAGTTATTAGATCTTTCATCCAGTTGATTTTTGGGAAAAAATCTGAAGTTTCTTTAGAAGAAACTCAACCTCAGGCTTGGGAAAAAAAGGTTCACCCAGCATTCTTTTCTAGTTTTACTGGATTAATTCACTACAAGAGCTTAATTTAATCTTGTGTAGCTTTCTTGCAGGCCTACGGCAAAATTTTTGTGTATTTTCTAATGGCTAGGTCGCCCAATGGTGATTTCCAGCGGCATGCAGTCCATGAACACAATGCATCAGGTTTATCAGATTGTGAAGCCCATCAATCCAAACTTCTGCTTCCTGCAGTGCACCAGTGCTTACCCACTTCAGCCAGAGGATGTCAATCTCCGTGTTATATCGGTCAGTGAGTAACCCATGCGTAGGGTAGCAGAGAAGGGCCGTGCACTTCTGCTGAGATACATTTCCAGATCTTTGGCATGCTGGAATTTGCTTCTGAGAAGTCAGAAGATGTATCGTGTTCCTCTAATTCATGCAAGTGTTGAACTAAAAACACCCAAAAGATCCTTTTTTTAGCAAAACTCGTCTTTGAGGAATATGATAAAGGGTATTATTGGAGTATTCACAGCTCAACAGAGGAAAATACGACATTTGGTTAACAGGTTAACCCTGTGCTTTATAATGCAAAGAAAAATTATGTACCGTTAAGAAAGTGCATGGAAGTGAGAACGTAACTCTACATAGGGAGCTAGACCAGCAACTTTTGGTCAAAAAGCTTCATGTGAGTATCAGAGTAGAGAAGAAAATCGATTAGACCCTGGTATAGTTCCCTTCGCTGGAAATATTACCTGGATCTGCCTAATAATGGTATAAGGAAGTTTTCCCAAATTGGCCAGTGTTCAAGCACCAGCTTAGATTTATGCACATGCAGTATGTTATTTTTAGCAGAATGCGACATGGCTGCATTTAATTGCCTTTAGGATTGGGTGACTGTCCCCTATGTATGGATTAAAATATTGCTTCAGAATTGAAATACAGAGTTGAAGAAATCTGCTTTGGATGTAGGTTAAGTTTTACCAGTCCACTGGGTTCTTGTGTGAAAATAGAATGCTACTCTATTGCTGTTACTTACAGTGATGTAGGCTTTGAAGACCTGGAATAGTAGAACTGAATTAAAAGGAAAAACATTAAGTGGTAGAAAAGAACATACCTGCTTTCTCTCGTTAGTACTGATAATGTTAGTGAAACTGGGAACGTGGCAATTGGTAATGCAGTGTGACTTGCTGAATGTAAAAAAATGCATTCTCAGAATAACCAACTGCTTGTTTTGTGCCACAATAATTGCCCTTGGGTTTTTATTGCAGTTATCACTGTTAAGTTTGCTTTGTCTTTGAAATTGCTACCTTGGTAATTAAGACCAACTCTGTCGTGATTCAAGGCGTATCAGTCAGCTTTTCCTGACATCCCCATTGGCTATTCGGGACATGAAACTGGCATAGCCATTTCAGTGGCAGCTGTTGCTATGGGTGCTAAAGTAGTGGAACGCCACGTGACCCTTGACAAAACATGGAAAGGAAGCGACCACCAGGCATCTCTGGAGCCAGACGAACTGGCGGAGTTGGTGAAAGCCATCCGTACTGTGGAAAAAGCAATGGGTTCTCCAGTCAAACAACTCTTGCCCTGTGAAATGGCTTGCAATGAAAAGGTAACTTTTGCTTTTGATTCATGTAAACCTGCAGCTCATTTAGACCTATAGCTGATAATCTGTATTCAGAAAAATAGCTTGCTGTTTGTTTATTGCAGTAGTGTTCCTGCCTCTGCACTCAAAAAATTTCTCACCGCGTTACGTTGGCAGTTTTGAGTATAATGGAGTTCTGTGTTTATCATCCAGTAGTTAAATAAGTTGAGTAGAAATATGGAATGATTTAGGTTGGAAAAGACAGTTAAGATCATCGAGTCCAACTGCTAACCTAACGCTGCCAAGTCCACCACTAAACCATGTTCCTGAGTGCCACATATGTTTTAAATAACTCCAGGGATGTTGACTCAACCACTTCCCTGTTCTAGACTGTTTCAGCACTTGATAACCCTTTTGGTGAAGAAATTTTTCTTAATATCCAATCTAAACTTCCCCTGGCACAGCTTGAGGCCATTTCCTCTTGTCCTGTCTCTAATTGCCTCGTAGAAGAGACTGACCCCCACCTGGCTACAACCTGCCCTTCAGGCAGGAAGGTACCCCTGAGCCTCTTTTTCTCCAGACTGAACAAACCCAGCTCCCTCAGCTGCTCTTCATAAATCTTTAGATGCTTCACCAGCTTCGTTGCCCTTTTGTGGACTCAACTCCAACACCTCAATGTTTTTCTTGTAGTGAGGGGCCCAAAACTGGACACAGTATTCGAGTGCGGCCTCACGTGTGACAAGTACTCAGTAACAGTAATGGGAATAATATGTCTCTATGACTGTATATGAGCTGCTATTACATTAAGCTAAAATACCAGTCCTTCTAATCAGATTCCCTCCATTGTGATTTTGGAACATTCCAGTAAACCACCATCCAGTTTCAGAAAGGATCTGGATGTTCCCGGCAGCCCGGTTACAGTGAAGGTGTCCATGGCTAACTCAGCCTTCATTTGGAATAAGCAATGCAGAGGGCACAACCTGTTCCCAAATAACTGCAGAATATTTTTTATCCTTTTTTTTCGTATACTAAGCCTAGCAATGTGTTTGACTTAAAACTTTTTTTCCCCACCCCTCTCCTGTAGCTGGGGAAGTCTGTTGTGGCGAAAGTGGCAATTCCTGAAGGTGCCGTCCTGACACTTGACATGCTGACCGTGAAGGTGGGAGAGCCGAAGGGATTTCCCCCGGAATCCATCTTCGATCTGGTGGGCCAGAAGGTTAAAAAAAGTATCGAAGAAGATGAAACCATCACTGAGCAAGTAGTGGAAAATCATGTAAAAAAAGTGAAGTGCTAAACCAAAGCACTCCATGTTTCACGCTGTACTACTGCACAGCATATTTAAGAGTAGCAAAGAAAGGGGCATAATTATGGGGATCCAAGCAGGTTAGCATTTTCAGGTTCTCATTAGTAGGAAGTTTCTGAAGCAAGGGGATATAAATTACGAAGAGCATTTTATTAGAAACTGTACAGCATTGTGCCTAAGAAATACCATGCTCCTCCCTTCTCCATTCTACTTAACCTAGATTAATTCGGAGTTTTGTCAAATCTGAGACCACAGTCTGTGCTTTCTGGCTTCCTTTTTCTGCTAAGAATACAGTAAATCATAAGAATTTTTCCTACTAGAAAACTTTCTACTAGAACAACTTTTGAGTTGTTCTAACCCCTTATCTTTTGATGTTCCTTTCTTTTCTGCCATTTGCCTCACCCCCATAATAGCAGGACTCTAGCTGCAGTTGAAGGCAGCTAAGTGAGAGTTCACATACCCTGAACAGAAAACTACACATGCAACCTGATGAATTTTTCTCGAGATGAAAGCCTTAAGATGAAAAGTCTTGTGATAAAACAGTGGGTTGCAGGAATCTGCACTCTGTGGGAAAATGGGCTTCTTGAGAAATGTAGGTTTTCAAGAGACAGTACCAAGAAAGGAAGCATACTGGATATGTAGAAAGGTCCCATTTAAGGGGCAGGGGAACATTTTTGTGAACTGAAAGGCAGGAGGGCAAGCCAGACAGATTAAGCAGGTGAGAAAAGTAGCTCTGAGATGAATCAGTGGAAATAAACCTATGCTTTAAAATTTGTCAGAAGCATCTGTTGTGAGCTGAGTGAAGACTAGATCTTAAATCAATTCTGCAGAGCATTTGGATACCTCTGTTTGGACCTCGGGAGGGGGTGTAACTTCTCGGGTAGGAAGCCAAGTGCTGGTGAAGATTGAACAGCCCTTTTCCTGTACTAACAAGCAAATACATTATGTTAGGGTTTTTCCCTCAACACTGGAGTTTGAGATGACCAAGGCTGACTGCCTGACCACATCACATCATTATGTGATGGTCAGTGCACCTCTTGTGTGCTCTACTCTTGCGTCCCAGCTTCTCACTTTCCAAGTAAGAAATGCAATCCCACTGCTGTGAGCCTGCTGCTTTTCCCTGTGACCAAGAAGGAGCCATATGGAAGCAGCTGCAAACTGGGCATTCCCCAGTTACCTCTGAGCACAGAACTGCTTCGGTGTAATTCATCTGCTTTTTTTTTTCTGTGGTGGAATCATTTACTAGTGATGGTTACTTGGAACTTGCTACTTTTATTTTCATCACAAGGTGGTGAAGTACCTAGAATTTGGTGGTGGGTGTTTCTGTACCTGTGAGCTGTTCACTTTCAAAATGTTTACCCTTCTGCAATTCTGAGGAAACTGTACTCATATCTTCAAATGGGGAAGCAGAGATTGAGTCATGTGCTTGAACATACATGAGCTGTGACTGATACAGTATGCTTGCCTTACATTAAAAAACTACTCAATTGTTAAAAGATTTTTTTTTTATTTCAAATTTGAAAAATAGATTTAGCTCATAAAACAAGCTCTTGTTTCTCCATTTCAGCCTATGGTCAGACCTTGCCTTTGCTAGCACTGTTGATGGCTCCAGGGCCTTTAGGATTTGAAAACTGTAAGATTACCTGACCTGCTTCAAGTAGCAGTGGTTCTTGAGTCTAGCAGGGCTGGTCCTAGAGACTGCTGTAAACATAGGCTCCAAAAATTTCCAAGACTTTAATTAATGTATTGGGGGAAAAAATATCCATATACAGAAAATTGCGAGCTGTGTCTCCTAGTTTTATGTGAACAGATGTTTATCCAGCTGCAGTTAAAGAGCCTTTGCAAAGTGGACAGAAAAATAAGTTGAGCGTAAATGCCCCGCTGACCTGGTGTTTTTATTGCCCCTGTGGGCCTTCCAGGCATTTCCGACTCTGTTGCAGGTTGTACACGGCTGTTTCTCACGTTTCCACTTAATAGGGAAGAATACAGCCATCCAGAAGCCCAACTCAAAGTCCCTGTCACATGTAAGACCAGTTAGTGGCTATTAAATGCGGCCTCAAAAGCTCCTACTTCAGAAGGGACCTTTCCAAAAGTCCGTGCCAGTCTTTGATTTTTCCAAGATGACATGTAAGTATAAGGTAATTCACTTAGTGCATTTATTATCCAAATCTGACCTTGTCAGCTATAACAATATACAATATATAAACTTGAGCTTGAACCAAACTAAACCCATTACCGTACACAACTGCAGCCTCTCCAGACAGATGAGGGGAGGAAGTTCATAAAAAAATATGTCAATATCCCCGTTCCACTCTGAGCTGTAATGTGCTTCTTTCAACTAGACTTTTTCCATTTTGCAAGTTGAAAAACATACAAAAATATTACATATGGCACTTCGGTGGTACATCAACAGGCGGTGGTCCTTCATCCTGGAGACGTGCCCTGCCCAACGCAGCTGTGTTCTCATCAGCATAGCCTCGATACTTGTGATAGCTGCTTGCTCGGTGAACTTGCCACTGGCTGCTGCATGAGAGGAGCCCCGAAGAAAAGATACAAGGACTCCCTGAAACAACATCTCAGCCTTGGCCATATTGATCACCATAACTGGTCTACTCTGGCCTCAAATTCATCTATAATTTCACCCTGCAAGTATTGCAGAAAACACCATAACAATCGGAACGTATTGGCCTCATAAGCCACCAGCGTGCCTGCAGCAAATGTGGATAGAGCCTTCCCAAATCTTCGTTCGCGAAGCCTAGCCATGATGATGATGATGATGATGATGGTACATCAACACCATTTATAAGAGCCAGATCACCTTCCCCCATTGACAGAGACATTAAAAATTACAACTGATTTTCTTGAACTTACTGTTACCTTCTAAAAGCATCATAGTTACAACTTTCATACAGAGATTAATTCATGCTAAAATGGTTTTCACAGAAAAAGCATAAAATAGTAGGCTTTTTTTTTTTTGCTTCATTCCTTATGGTAATTTGCATATTCTAATGGACCCTTCCCAGAGTCTCAAGGCTGGATATACTGGTTCTGTGAACTTGCAATGGAAGGTGTGCAAATGAGCCATTCCATCACTAACATTGTAGAATGAAAGGATTCCTGCTTCATAATCCAGAAAAATGCCAATGCGGTCAGGATCATCCTCTACCAAGATGGGGATTCTCTCCCCCTTGTGAAATGCCCAGTATTCCAATTCAAACTTCTTAAGGCACCAAGATGCTCTATTCCAGCCCAGCCGGCAGGTTTCAGAGTCTCCTTTCCTGCCAATGGAAGGGTAGGCTGCGCCAATCCACCAGCCGGCTCCAGCATGAAGCAGGTCAACTTCCCAGTAATGGCTCCCAGAGAGGAATGCGTCTTTGCTTAGCACTTGCCATAATTTATCGAATCTCTGGGGACCACAGGGGTAAAATATCCTCCTCCAGCTGCAGCTTACTTCAAGACGGTCATCAGACAATTTCAGTCTTGGGTGAACGCTGTCGTATTCCCAGGTTGGTGATCTTGCATCTGCAGCCAAAGCCATAAACATACTTACTACATTTATCATGACCCTTGGAAGAACTCAGAGTTAAAAAATGCCTGTAAAGAAGCCCACAGCCGGCAGTGTCTCAGGACAGAGACAGAGCCAGAAATCCCGCTGTCCCAGGGGCACTGGGGCTGGAAAAGGCATGCCAGAGAGATCACAGCAGGGCACCAACATTGCTGCCTCCACACCTTTCTAATCTGGGCCATCAGGGTGATGGGGACCTCAGCCGCAGCACCAACCTGCCGTTAGGGTTAAGGTTAGGCTTCAGAGAGCCATGGAACCTACAGCTCCAGAGACAGTGGGGCTGGAAAAGGCATGCCAGGGGAATCACAGCAGGGCACCAACACTGATGCCTCCATAGCTTTCTGGTCTGGGTCACTCACGGTGATGGGATGAAGGGAAGCTGTACGCAGAGTGGCTACAGTCACTCAGCTTGTTCAGCTCGGAGAGGAGACTGAGGGGAGACCTCACTGCAGTCTACAGCTTCCTCATGAGGGGAAGCAGAGAGGTAGGCACTGATCTCCTTTCTGGAGACCAGTGACAGGACCCGAGGGAGTGGTATGAAGCTGTGCCAGGTGAGGTTTAGGTTTAGGAAAAGGTTCTTCACCCAGAGGGTGGTTGGGCACTGGAACAGGCTCCCCAGGAACTCATCATAGCCCCAAGGCTGACAAAGTCCAAGAAGCGTTTGGACAATGATCTCAGGCACATGATGTGATTCCTGAGGTTGTCTGTGCAAGGCCAGGACCTCAGTGATCTTTGTGGGTTCCTTCCAACTTGAGATCTGAGGATTCTGTGACCATACTTACGTTTTAAGAAAAGCAACCGATCAACAGGAGTCATGGTTTTCAACACTGTTCCAGGTTCCTTCTTTGCAGTGGTGTTAAGGCTACTGAAAACATCTGGACAGAGATGAAAAGGGATAGTTCAGGGAGCCTGCCAGTTCTTTAACTTCCATTTTCCAACTTCATGGACAAACTCTGTTACTTTTTCTGGGGAAGGGCTACTCACTCTGTAGGCTTTCAATCTTATGCTCTTTGGATAGCACAGAGATGCTGGATTCCTGTGTTGCCAAACTACACAACTGAGCACAACACCAAGTAATCACATCTGATTCCTTAAAAAGCAGCCCCTATCAGATGAGAGCAGTCAGGCAGCTGAAGACAGCTGCAGATGTTAACTACAGAGCACCTCCACGATGCTGTCTAGCAATCCTACACACAATCTGCAGTGGCCTTTCAGATCTGCTCTGACCATTTGCCCCAGCACCCTGCTATTTTGTTCTTGGCAATTCTCAGAAAAGGGATTATTAAAAGGTAGCTGGGTGGAATGTGATGGCCAGTGTTGCTCACTCGATGAGCAGCAGGGTTTTCCCATGGTTATGTGGCTTTGTGGTTCTGTGTCCCATTAGGAAACTCCTCCCTTAATCATGACAAAGGTCACTTAGGGATGAAATACTAGCTCAAAGACAAAAGTAATTCTAAATAGAACACGTTAGCTCCCCTTTAGAGTACCAAAAAGCACAGAACTTTTTCTGACTGAGGCAGAAAGATCACTGGGTACATCAATTAGAAAATGCTTTCAAATTTTACAGGTAGCCAATGTTCAGTGCCAGAGCACTCAGACCCAACAGTAACTGAAAGGAGAGAATACATATATTGTGCAGGTATGACGGTCTGCAAAGAAGTAAACTGCATTGAAATAACTGCACAGAACTGGAGGAAAAAAGCAGCAGACAAACCAAAGACTGACTGAAGCATTGCTGTTTTCTCCAGCTGATTTGGTAAAAGTCCTGTTCTTACTTGCAAACCACACTTTATTTACAAAGAGAGCAGATGAAAGCAAAATTCAGAGCACTCTCCCAGATACCTTCTTTAAGCCGGGCTTCTAGTGGTTTCTGTAGAATGGACTGAAGAACTCTGAAGAAGTGCTTATAATGGTTAAGTATGTGTTCAAATGAGAGAGGTATTGGATGCCACTGTTCTCTCAGGTGCCTGGATTCCTTCATTTCCTTCTCGATTTCTATGTACTTCTGAGGGCAGAAAGCCAAATTCTCCAATTAGCAGAGACAGTGACATGAAAGGACTCTTCCCTCCCAGCTCCCCCACAAGGCAGAGCAAGGACAGCTCCATCACTAGGTAAACCAATGGGCCATAACAGGCAAGCTTTGTTGTGTTCAGACTGCCTATTAGCTCATTAGCCTGCCCATTACTTCTCCTGCCAGTGGAGCCAGGGGCCACCCCAGAGACGGAGAACCCAGCAGTCATGGTTTAAAACAGCTCCCAATAGGGCTGCCTTTCCTCAGATCTTCGTATGACACTGGACAAGGAAAGACCTGATACAGCATTTGTCTTCAAGATCAAGAGACACATCTCTCTATTCCATATATGCTTAAAATTAACATGGATTTCGTACAGATCTGAAATCAATACCATAGCAGGAACACCTAACAAAAATCAGGTAACAAACTGGTTCACCAAGACACCAACACAAAGAAAATTAAGAAGCAGTTAGAAAGATGCTGCTTACACACAGAAGGATCTACAGAAGAGATCACTAGAGCAGTTTATCAAGGACTGTGAGGGTAAGAGGCAGAACGAGACCATACAATACCACCTCCAGCAACTGAATAGGATCACTGTCCTGTTGTATTTGTCTGATCCGACACGAGAAGGTCTCTAGGGCTGCAAGCTGTTCTTGACAGGACTCCAGCTGCTGAGCATGTTGTCCTAGGGCTTGCTGAGTCTTTTCATCAATGAAGTTTTTTGCCAGACTCTCTTCTTCCCGAAGAAGTAACTGGAGCTCGGTCACTTTTTCTGACAGCTGCCGTTTGATCATATTGGCATGTGCCTATAGATGAAGCAGAAGAGTGTCTCCCCACACTCACCAGACCATAAACATTTCAGATATTTCTCTCAGGCTTTCAACGTTGCCTTTTGGTTCAATTTTACTGACTTT